CTGAATAGCAGTAGCTCGAGACAGGGAGGAGGACGTGGAGCGTTATTGGCATCACCTCGAGCAGACCGATGATCAACGGACAGGTGGGACAACAGGTGATACAGTTAGTAGAAGTGAATTCATAGGTGGAATTTCTCATCATTAGAGAGCATCGACTTTACTTGGCGCTCAGAAGTTACAGAACTCTTCCTTTGTTGCTGTCAGCTCTAACCCAACCTTATCTTCGAATGGTGCTGAGACCAGGAAAATTCCGACTAAATTCGATCCGATGGCTTCATGAATGCGATGCTGCTCCTCTAACGACAATCCTTTCCATCCGTATTTTACCGTAATAATGGGTAGTTTGTTCCGTTATAGATACGCACTTGTGTTACATACAAAAAGACCTCATTTTGGTCTCTGCAATAACCCAGCCCCGAGTTAGACCGCGGTTCGAAGTAGGAGCATATCGTATAACCTGGCTGACCTGGTTCCAGGCCTAGCTGCGAAAACAGGACGGCCGAGTAGCTAGCCCTCTCGTTCGTAGGGCAGCTCTTATTATGAACCGTCACATAGGCAAAAGTGGTCCCCCCAAAGCCTCCTCTGGTCCTCGAAACCAGCTTGGCCATACGTTCTCTTCAGCATACGTTTTTGAAATAGAGACATGGAAATGTTAAGTCGTAGAACAACGTATGTCATCTGTGGCAACTCTGCGTCCATTACACTATATTCTGCGGTAAGGTTACTGTAGGAAATGAGTTCCCGTCCTAAAATTTCGTTTTTGTAACAGCAAGGACGAGCAGGGAAGGGACTGGACGATGAGAATTCCTTACTTGACAGTCTTTCTCTCGAATGACCCATTAGAAACACTGAGATAAGCCATTTTGGGAGCTACAGTATCTTATCGTCAGGTTCTCTTTTTACACCCTATCCTGGGCAAACGCGAACCATAAAATGTTGACGACCAGTCGAACGACACTACAGTACTACTTCTCAGCATATTTATTGATAAAAAAAATCGTAAAATAGGTCCTAAATAGATTCGAGTGGATCATATGTACAATATCAATTCAATAGAAACCACATTAATACTTGAAAGTGTCACAAAAATCCATTGAGGTCATCAGTTCAATTATGTTTCAGCCAAGACTGGTGGAAGAGCAATAAGCTACAAGTATGCTGGCCGTTAAATGAGTGCTATATACAACTCAGGGGCCGCTTTTTGATCAGAAAGCCCAGTCGGGTAGTGTGTACAGTAAGGTACTGCTTTACAATTTACTTTTCGATTTTCGCTCCGAGGAATCTTGCCGTCGATCTAGCTCGTATAGGGCCCGTCGGAGTCGTGATCCAACTTCATATCGATGAGGCACGATATCAGCTTCAACGCTGTCATCCACTGCTTTCATGTCGTAAGTTTTGTTGGAATTTCGAACTTAAAAGAAATCGATAAGCATTAAAACCACTAAGTCTAAGTTGTTAGGTAAGCAATATTCCTTATTACTCTATTAAAAAAGAAAACATTCTGTTTTAATTACTGACTGAAGAGGAGCGGGACCATTTACCCAAAGTCGGCCGCTTGTGAACTTGCGCAGTCTAGGGGCAAGATCTGAATTCCCAGTAGGTGGTTACTGTATTTGTCGCGCAACCACTGCCGCGTGCTTGCCTGTGACCGTGGGAATTTGGGTACAAGGCTGCCATTTAAAAAAAAAAACAAGGGCTAGCTAGTTTTATTGTATATTTAAACTCTGGACCGTATCCCTCTCGGACGCATTCAGCAACTTACAGTATAACGGCCTAATGTCAGCCACTTGGAACCTATGGGCTTGAAGACCCTTTGATGCCAAATTTTGCAAACCTTCCCAACTGTAGAATGCTTAATGCATCCTCTAAATGCATCCCTTAAAAGGTGGTCATTACTATCAAGAAGCAACAGCTCCCTTTGGGCGAATGAAAGATGTCAAAACTCGTGAAATTCCCCGATGAAAGATTGTTCCATCACCACCAGCATCGCTAAAACTCAAAATCTTTTTTAACCATCCCTGAAATTATTCATCCCCTATCATTAAGTTCAGTGCACGGTCTGATAGTAAAGGATATTTAGAATGAGAGGAAATCGAGTAATGTAGTAGTAAGTATTGTCACACTGTCACTATGTAAGCTAAAAAATTGGTTTGTTTACCTGCAAATGCTTCGCCAATGTCATCACCGTTAGTGGAAACATCCAGACGTAGACTGCCGTCGGTTTTTTGAGTACCAGACATCTGAAAAATGGGCCATACCCTATGGATCTTGAAGGACCCTAGGGCGACTATAAAGTCCTCAGCGCGAAAATTTCCGAATCATACAGACTAGCACAATTCCAGTAGAAATGAGTGATACAGGCACATTGAAAACGTTGTTTGGGGTGAGTTCCAGCGTTTTTACAAATTGAAAACCCCGAAAACTTCCTTTCTCAATCAAAACTATTTGGAATTTCCCACCTTCAAACTCCGTTGAAAATCTTCGTGGAATTTTATGGGTCTTTGGTCTACACAAAGACTTTAGAATGGGGAGTGAAAAGGGGGAGGGGTGAAGGAGAGGGAATAAAGGAAGCTTCTCAATGAACCTCCTATCCACCGAAGCTAGCCTAACTCTCAGACGACCTACAGCATACTGAAGACCTGACCGATCCGGGTAGGATTCACGGATCACGTAGACCACTTTGTCAAGTACCCATTCCTTGGTCGCCTTTATCGCACTTTTCCGAATGGTGGGACTATGCTGATTTTGAAAATGGGCTTTTCGGTGAAAAATCAAACCATCACCCGTTCAACGATAAGCGGCGTTATGGTCCATGAAACAGCTGCATTGCTCTGATAAAATCAGAGCACCTTCGAACTTTTGGTCCAAGATCAAAATTGGGTGGCACAATAAGTAATGAGAGGGACAATGGTCCGAATAGGTAAAGGGCCGTTATCTCGGAAAAAAAATGTGTTCGAGCTCCTACAACNCCCTCCCTCTTCCCCTCCCCCTTCCCATCCCATCACCTCCCCCACTTCTCCCCGGTGGAGCGATCACCCTTCAGATAGGTGCGGAAGCTCAGGGGGATCCGTTTGTCAGGACTATCTTCTCCGAAGCTGAACAACGAAGCGGGATCAAAGAATGAGTGGGAGAATATGCATATAGATTACAGTTCACGTGGAGTGGGTCGGTGGCGTCGAATGGAATGGGGAACCGAGTGATCCTTCCTTTGATGTCGTTGCGCTTATAAGTGATAGTTATCAGCAGTTGTTTACGGGGTGACCATAAAAGGAATTTTGTTAGTGATCCGAAAACAAATAGGCGCTTATCGGAGCGACCAACGCCCAGATCACAAATACTTTGAGAATAGAGCAAATATCAGGTGGTTTTCGAAAGCGATGGGGTCATACCGATTGAAGAAGGGCTTGGAATCAACCCTGCCACGGTGATAACACCGTGCTGGTTTGTTGTGGTAGAACCGTACCAAGCAAATCGTCCTTTTCAAGGAGCTAAAAGTACTTTAAGGCTCCCAATTTGTGGCCTACCCAACCGAGCGCTTCAGGCCAACTATAGCAACTCCTAGAGACTCACCCCGTAAATGCCAAGTAATCAACCCTTTGCGGTTCCATCCGCGGTGATGTACCATTTGACTACGTGAACAATGAGGTATCAATAAGACACCATGAATTCTTGTATCGTGCGGAATACGCGACAATTCCAAAGTTCGTAGAGAGGGTTAAATAGCAGGAGTTTACTTCTTACGGCGATGCACACTTTTCGATTGTTCAGCCTCGGATTTCGCTTGCGTGTAGGTGACCTTTCTGTTACCTTTCTGACATCTATCTCACTTTCGCAGGCTACGGTAGTGCCTTTGATGGTAAAATCACTGCCCTGATGTTCTTCTAGTCGATGCCTCCCAAGTGGTGTGTGTAGGCTTCTTCGCCTTTTTTTGTGCTAGCTGTTCTTCGACTCACAGGCCTTGCATGGGCGAGAAAGTCGTGTATTGAATTGCTTTCTGAGTTGGGTTTCATATATTTGTACGCATAAGAGGTAGGGAGGCCATGTCTACCGTCTACCACCCCCACTTCCCCTCTTTGCATTATACTCAACGTCAGTGAGAATGAGAGCGCTAGTATGAACATGGGTTCTATAATAAACCACTGAAGTACATAGACAATTTTGGGGAGTAATCGAACGTGCAACCTGATGGCCAAGTAAATCATCCCCGAAGACACTTGGTGAGGATTTGGGGGTACCACAACATGCTATTCTTCCGGGAGTTATGGTAATTTCCGCTGTGTTGAAGGCACAGTTCACGATAATTTTGAGGTACCCTTTTTAAGATAAAACGAAGAAGTGTTGATATTGAGTAGTGCATCGGTGACGAAGGAAGTGTGACCGCCTACCTCACGGATAGTGAGACTTTCCAGAAGTAGCGGCAATAGAGGTTGTACGAGATTGCCGTGGCGTAAAGGCATGAAAGGGAAATTCAATTTGTTACAAATGCGCAAGGAGCTGAGTACATCAAGTCCAAATTGTCTAAAACTCCCACTGTCGCCATATATCGAAAGAAGTTGTTTGAACATCCAACTTGACGTAGCGCAGCCTCTACACAGCATCGAGACTCGTCCGCTTTGGGTGTGGCATTCACACGATACAATGTCTGGTCCTCTATTGTGCCCTATCCAGTATGTTTCTCGACCTGACATCGGCACATATTAGCCTCGGACTAATCCTAAAGGAAAATTCCAGAAACCATTTTTTTCGTGATTTGTGCCTTTAGGCATTTTTGATCAGAACTGGTTATTACTCATTGAACAGCGAAAAAGAGTTCACCCAAGTGACGTGTAACGCTGATAATCTTGCAAGAAAGGTGATGAACTTATCAGTTCGATGCCGTATAGATTACACCACGAAACAAGTGGGGCAACAACGTGGTTCGGGCCATCAAAGGCCTGATTGTGAGTCATGATGACCATAAACCATAAAGCATTGATTTATAGGAATCACGAAATAAGTACGATCAAAGGTGTATTGTACAATTTGGAATATTCT